CTTTCGTCTAAAAATTTTTGATTGAAGGTCACTGTTCCAAAGTACTGATGATGGCGAGCTTGAGGTAAAGGAAAAATACATTTTGTTGAAGCAAGAGAGTTGACTTACGAGAGTCGCTTCCTCTTCGGTCCGACCTGGGCAACTGTGGTGTAAGAGAATTTGGTAATGCACCATCGAATACAAATTGTGGTGTTGGACGATCGGGAATGAGTGAAGAGCTGTGGAAGAGTGGGGAGCGACAGACCTACAAACACTTATGACTCTTTTAGACTGAGAATTGGCACAAAAAGTTACTGAGTGACTTATAAAACACCAAAAAATAATAGTAGATTATTCAATTGCGAGAACTACCGACTGTCACTAATGTAAGCTTTCAGCAAGTGACGCTAACAAGGAACACATATGAGTCGAAGCAGCCGTTCATTGTGAGGTGCATACCGACAGAAATCATATCGGAAAAAGTTTAAAATCTGCCTTCGCTACCGCTGTTTGCATAATGCTTCTATAAAAGGAATTCCGGACGATCCAATCACAGTGGGTGAAGTGAAATAGTCTGAAATAGTGTGTATGTCGCAATACAAGTGGCACAATGGTGTCCTGTCTCGTACGGAGGCTCGGGTTTTATTGATAGATGTTTTGCGTTTTCAAAAAGCAAACAGCATACATATAGTACGAAATTTCACATACTCTTACCCTGATATGTCACCGGTTTTTCGCATTTGAAAAATTTCCTGGCTTATTCTTGGTATGCAGCCGCGGCTTCTTAGATGCTTATTTAGATCCTTTTGAAACCCCTCTTCTGTATTGTTTTTCTTCTGATTTTATAGGATCAAGATGTGATTGTGACCAAGATGGGTTCTCTAGGATACTCTTCATCTGATGCACTTACCGTAAAAAGCCTCTCTCCTTGAAATTTTATTCCAGGTTATCACGTCTGTTTCCAATTAATTTTATTACATACTGATACTTATTGAACTATACCCTAAGGTTCAATCATTGAACGTTCTATTATGGATTCATGGAATTATCACTAGGTGGAATTAAACGGAAAAATTCCATATAAAAGTAGTAGTCATAAAATAAGGTAATTATGTAAGAAAATTCTGCTTAGATTTTGCAAACCTTTTTTTTTGAAATGGAGTAGAGGAAATTACAAATACATCAATTGTACTGTGACATGTCCACGGCTTCACATATTGCTTCCACTCTATGACTAAATGAATAAATTGTCCATAACTCCTCTTAAAGAAGCGTTCCACAGACAGCGAAATTTGAAACCTTTGTTCCATAGATTTTTTGGTGGTATACACCTCAGAGCAAATGGCCACTTCCACTTTTAGGTGTTCCCTTGTAAGTCAAAAAGGAACATTTACGAAACCTGGATTGGAGGTTTGGCGGCGATATTGGCAGCATGCATAAAGTCGGTCATTTGCTCTGGTATGGCTCTCAATGCCTTTTGAGCAATTCGAGATCGATTTTCAGACAAAGTATCGGCGGCATCAATTAAGTCAGCAATGGTGATGAGCTGAAATAGTAAATTTCCACTAAAATTCGTAAAAATCGAAGCGATTGGCTCTAACCTGTAAGCAGGGCCTCATCCCATCCTTTCTTTTAGCTGCCAATTTCAACAGCTGAGAGAAGTCACCATTTCCAATTCCAATAATGATGATTGACAATGGAGCATCTGATGCAGCCATTAGGGCTGCGCTTAGCTCCTGAACAGGTATTTGAGGCTTTTAGCTTCTCTTACCTTACAGTTTAGAGAGAAAAACTAATGGATTGTCCAACAGTTCATACGGAATTTTCAAGCTTATAAAAAATCTTAAAAGATCAAAATGTTTGCATTATTTCCACTCATTAAATACTATATTTTCCGTTCTATAAGATTTTGCGTAGCGAAAGTTAACTTAGTCTCGTTTGAAATGAAGATCATTAAAATGGAAATTACGGGAAGGTCACTTCGACCCACTGGAACTAAACTCAATAAGTTTGCATAAGCACGAAATCCTCAAAAATGCAATCGGAGTTGCTTCTTTTTTTTGTAATTCAAATTTTGTGATTTTCACATCAACTTAAACTATTTCGCTTAAGGATACTGAGCAATGCATCTTGTCAAGAATAACTAATATCTGGTGATATAAAGTCGCGCAAAAAATTTGATCTTGAATTTTTACGGGCTTGAAATATCGCAAACTTTGAATACTCATTATTATGACGAAAACACGCTGAAAAGAAGCAAAAAAGATCATTCCATTTTGTCAAATCGGTATTTTAGAGATCAACTCTTATACATGTTTCAAAATGGCTGCCTTAACGAGAAGTTAGTAGAAAAATCTGAATTGGGTGCTCTAAGCTCTCATTTCTAAGATTAAATTATGGTCACTGATGACATATTCTCATAAATTTCCCAGCAACCATTTTTTGGATTGAATCATTGCCGTTAGCCATTGTGCAGAATTTTCCAGGAGTCCTTTTTTTGCATGCCCTTTTTAGAAAACTATTCCCTCAATACTCATTCGCAAACCTTCATATCCGTAGGCGTTCCACGTGTAAAAATAGCCAAAATGTGGTAGT